GAAAGCCCCTCACCCCGAGCGAAGGGGCGGGGACCGCCGCCGTACGGGGCAGCCGTCGGGGGTGGGCTGGGGGCCGGGAGGAGGGACACGTTTGTGAGAGGCAGGTCCCCATGCTCCGACGGGGGGGGGTCCACTGCCAGAGAGCCAGGGGGACCCAGCCATCAGTGCTCGGAGAAGACTTGATGACCTCTGGGGGAGTCTTACACCCCTTCATCCCCACCTTCCTCTTCTCTCACCCTTGGCACTCTATGTGTCAATTTTCTAGAGTCTTCTGATCTTTGAAGAGGAATCTCGGCCCTAGGTTTAGGACCAGGGTCTTTTCTAAGCCTCTCTGTCCCCCACCCTCCAGTGGCAACTGGGCTTTTCCCAGTAATAGCCCCACCTCCTTAAGCAACCCCCTGGACTCTCAGTGGAGGAGATGTCTGGGGAGTCCAGCAGCTGGAGGGGAGGGTGTGGCTCCAGCTATGGAAGGGAGGGCAGCCCCCCCCTTTCTGGGGTGGGTATGGAGACCAGCTGGGGCAGGAAGGCCCCTTGGGGAAAACCCTCTCCCTGCTGGGGAACACTTGCTTGAGCCCTAAACAACTCTCTACCCATGGAGATTTTGAGAGTGAGAGCTGGGAAAATGCCCTTCACTCTGTCTGCAGAATTCACTTTGAGCCATTTGTCCTCCAAAGCACCTGTCACACGTGGCTCAGAGGTAAGGGACTAACTCAGCTCCTCCCCCCCCCCCCTGAGGAGGAAGCAGCCCTGAGAAAGGAGGGGGATTTGTCCAAGGTCAATACAGCATTCTTTCTACCACTCTGTGGCGTTCCTTACCAGCACCCACCTCTTTCTGCACAAAACCAGCACCTCCCTGGATTCCATGGCTTTGTTCCCATATGCACTAGCCCCAGGTCCTGCCAAGGGTGGTGTGTAGGTGTCGTCTGGCCACCGTGGCCCCTGTTCTTTGTGCAGGCTTTTTGTGACCTGGGTCTTTTCCAAGCCCAGCTGTGTCCACCTGCCACTGCCTTCCATAGCCTGTGGGCATGGGCGGAGATGTGGCCTTACCTTACCTCCTGGTTGTGACCTCCACAGGCCCTGGGCAGTGACGGAGTACGGGTGACCATGGAGAGCGCCCTGACTGCCCGTGACCGGGTGGGGGTACAGGATTTTGTGCTGCTGGAAAACTTCACCAGTGAAGCTGCCTTCATCGAGAACCTACGGCGGCGTTTCCGAGAGAACCTCATTTATGTGAGGCCAAGGGGGAGAGAGGACTGTGGGGGAAGGAGGCACGCAGGGCCTCTAAGACAAACTTCTGACCTTTCCTTCCCCTGACTTCCAGACCTATATTGGTCCTGTCCTGGTCTCTGTCAACCCCTACCGGGACCTACAGATTTACAGCCGGCAGCATATGGAACGCTACCGTGGCGTCAGCTTCTACGAAGTGCCACCCCACTTGTAAGTGACTTGTTACTCTCTCAGGAGTGGCCCACCCTCCCTCTCTGAGATTACCCAGCGCCCACTCTAAAACGAGCAACTCCATCCCTCAGCTCCCACACTAGCTCACATGTACACTTTCTTCCTCCAGTTCTATCTAGGCATAGCCCTCTAACCTTAATGACCTTCTGATCCTCACCTAGGAGTACTTCCCAGCCCTAGCTCCGAGTGCCCCCAACTTCCACCTGACTTCCAAACACCACCTGGAACAGTCCTCTCACTCTTTGACCTAACCATGACGCCATTCTCAAATACACAGAGTCTCCCTTGGTCCATGCCATAATGCCCATTCTCTCCAAGCTATGCCCTATTTCCACCCATAAGAGAAATCCAATCAGGTACGGGCATGGCCACCAGCCCTCCCTCTGGGGCTCCACCATCTGCATCACTTACCTCCCAGCCCCGAACTCCCTGACAAGCCTCTGCCTCAGGTTTGCAGTGGCTGACACTGTGTACCGGGCATTGCGCACTGAGCGCCGGGACCAAGCTGTAATGATCTCTGGGGAGAGTGGGGCCGGCAAGACAGAGGCTACCAAGAGGCTGCTGCAATTCTATGCAGAGACCTGCCCAGCCCCTGAGCGAGGTGGCGCGGTGCGCGACCGGCTGCTGCAGAGCAACCCTGTGCTGGAGGTGAGGAGACAGCAGCATCTGAGGGGAGGGTGGGGCTGGATGAGAATTCCTGGCATCCTTCATACCCCCAACCACTCTTAGGCCTTTGGAAATGCCAAGACTCTCCGGAATGATAACTCCAGCCGGTTCGGGAAATATATGGACGTGCAATTTGACTTCAAGGTACCTATGGGTATATGGGGCAGAGGGAGGGGTTTTCCATTCAATAGGCTCAATATTTGTTGAGCACCTACTATGTGCTATGGACTGTAACAGATGCTGCAGCTTGTACAGCAATGAAATGAAACCCAACAGATAAAACAAAGTCCTTCTATAGCAATTGGTAATAAACAGAAACAACAATTTAGGCAAAGGTGAGGGACAAATGCATTGCATTGCATTTTTAAATTTATTATTATTTTGTTTTAGATCATATCTTGTCTGTAACTGAGGTGGGTCTCAAACTCCTAACCTTCCTGCCTCATTCATCTAACTAGGACTACAGGCATGTGCCACCACATCCAGCTTTGCAATTTTGAATAAAGCAGATAAAGTAGGCCTTGCTGAGGAGTTGACTTTTCAGTAAAGTTTTGTTTTTTTGTTTTTTTTCAGTAAAGTTTTGGAGACAGAGGAACAGGTAGAACAGATGGGAATGATCAGAGTAAGAGTGCTTGATGTATTCAAGGACAAGGAGGCTAGAGTGGCTAGAGAAGAAAGCAAGAGCAGAGGAACGAGAGAGGAGGCCAGATGGTACAGGCCTTTTTGGGTCTTTGCAGCATTTTTTCATTGCTTTTGCTGGGGATTGAACCTCTGGGCTTCCCATATGCTAAGCACATGGTCTACCACTAAGCTTCACCTCCCTCCCTGAAAGAGCTTTCTAAAAACTGAGTGGCAGGGGGTTAGTGGAAGGTTTTGAATAGAAGTGTGTCATGGTCCAACTTTCCCTATCGAAAGGTCATTCTAGCTGCTTTGTTGGAAGTAGATGGCAGGGGAACCAAGCCAAGCAGGGAAACCGGTTAGGAGACTGATGTAATAATGTAGGTGACAGATGACAGTGGCTCAGACCAGTGGTGGCAGTGGACTTGGTAAGCAGTGGTTGGAATCCCAACTATTTGAAAGCTGAAGCATCAGGATTGAGTTTTTAGATGTAGGAAATGGAAGGTCAAAAGGCTTGGCATGGTGGTACTCACCTATAATCCCAGTACCCAGGCCTCGCTAGGTGCCAGTGGCTCACGCCTGTAATACTAGCTATTCAGAAGGCTGAGATCTGAGGATCACAGTTCAAATCCAGCCAGGGCAGGAAGCTGTAAGACTCTTACCTCAAAACACCAGAAAACCGAAGTGGTGCTGTGGCTCAAGTGGTAGAGTGTTCACCTTGAGCTGAAGAGCTGAGGGATAACACCCAGGCCCAGAGTTCAAGCCCCAGAACCAACAACAACAACAAAAAGCCAGCCTAGGCTACATACTGAAACTCTCTCAAAAAAAAGGGGGGGGCTGGGAAGGTGGCTCAGTGGTAGAGCGCTTGCCTTGCATGCCTGAGGTCCTGGGCTCGATTCCTCATCACCACATAAGCAAAAAGAAAAAGGCAGGAAGTGGCGCTGTGGCTCAAGTGGTAGAACGCTAGCCTTGAGCTGAAGAGCTGAGGGACAGAGCCCAGGCCCGGAGTTCAGGCCCCACGACCGGACAAAAAAAAATTAAAGCCTGTCCAGGCAGGACTAAAAAGCCTCTAGTGGCAGTGCACCAGCTGTGAGCAAAAAAACTAAGGAGTGGTATCCAGCCCCTGCGTTTAAGCCCAAAGACCAGCACCAAAAAAAAAAAGAAAAGAAAAACATCTTCCAGGTTTGCAAATTTTCTTGTCCCAATAACTAGCAGGATGGAACCATGGACCAAGATAGGAAGGCCTGAAGAAGCTAACATAAGGACTATTGAATGTGTGATGCCTATCAGGCATCTAGGTGGATCTGTGAAATAGGAGTTGAGTCTCCCCATTCCTTAGTTCTTGGGTGAAGAAACTGAGGTCAGAGAGAGTGATGTGCTTGAGCCCACACAGCTGTAGGGAGAGATGGAATTAGAGCTTGAGTCTGCAGGGGAGAAAAATGCATTCTATTTCCTAGTCCCACTGACAAAGTTCCTGTGCCCTGTCCACAGGGTGCCCCTGTGGGTGGCCACATTCTCAGTTACCTTCTGGAGAAGTCCCGGGTAGTGCACCAAAATCATGGGGAGCGCAACTTCCATGTCTTCTACCAGCTGCTGGAGGGGGGTGAGGAGGAGACACTGCGTAGACTGGGCTTGGAACGCAACCCTCAGAGCTATCTGTACCTGGTGAAGGTGAGTGGCTGGCAGGCAGGGCAGGAGCCATCCAGGGAGCACAGTGACATGACTGGCTACCCAACTGTGCCCTTTCTTTAGGGCCAGTGTGCCAAAGTCTCCTCCATCAATGACAAGAGTGACTGGAAGGTTGTCAGAAAGGCACTGACGGTCATCGACTTCACGGAAGATGAAGTGGAGGTGAGGGCTTTCCTGGGGATTCTGGACACCTTCCCCTTATCAGAGTCCCCAAGTCACCTGCTTTTAACTTTGTTTGCATTCCTAGCCCCCTTTGCCTGTTCCCTGCACCAGCTCATCATCTTGTCCCCATAGGGTTCCCCACACTCCGTAACCACTCCCTCCCATCTGACTGCTCCCTCAGGACCTGCTGAGTATCGTGGCCAGTGTCCTGCATCTTGGTAACATCCACTTTGCTGCTGATGAGGAGAGTAATGCCCAGGTCACCACTGAGAACCAGCTCAAGTATCTGACCAGAGTGAGTAGGGTGGACAGAGGGCAAGAGGAGGGGCAGCCAGGGCAAAAGGGCATTGCGTCACGTGCCTCACGAGGCTCCCCCTGACCCCTGCAGCTGCTCGGTGTGGAAGGCTCAACCTTGCGAGAAGCTCTGACACACAGGAAGATCATAGCCAAGGGAGAAGAGGTGAGGCCTAGCCCCTGCCACAGGACAGGGGGTGCACGTTGTCCAAGGTAGCCCTTCCCATCACCCTCTTCCCCTCATCTGCTCAGTAACCTCAACATACTGGAGGGACATAAGGCAGGTGGGTCAGAGAGGTACAGGAAGCTGGCTAAGTTTGCATAGGAAGAGGGTGTCAGAACCAAGACTCACCTCTAGGAATGAAGCGCCTCGTTCCTGTGGCCACCTTCCTTCTGGTGCGGCTATTCTGTTCTCCTGTAATATCCCCACACCACCACCACACTCCAACCCCCAGGCTCACTAGAGCTAGAGGGCAGGCTGGTAAGAGCTTTCTGCCCTCTGCCTGGGTCCAAAGGGGAGCTGGAACGGAAGAGGGTCTGTGGCATTCATCTTTGGTCTCACCCTCGGAGACAGCTCCTGAGCCCACTGAACCTGGAACAGGCTGCGTACGTGCGGGATGCCCTTGCTAAAGCTGTGTACAGCCGAACTTTCACCTGGCTGGTCAGGAAGATCAACAGGTCTTTGGCCTCCAAGGTGAGCTCTGTGTCCATGCTGCTTCCAAGGCAGGTGGGAGGGCACTCTGGGAGTGGGGGACAGGTGCCAGACATTGGGTTTTATGCTCTCTGTTGACTCTCCGACCCTAGGATGCTGAGAGCCCCAGCTGGCGAAGCACCACAGTTCTTGGGCTCCTGGACATCTATGGCTTTGAGGTGTTTCAGCATAATAGGTCAGCACCCTCCTTACCCCTGCTGATCTCTTCTCCTGTCCCCTGCCCATCATTCCTGTTCAATGCCTCCATCATCCACCCTGGGTCTTACTTTGCATCGCTTACTCGGGCCACTCAGGGACCTAGTCCTCATCTCTTGCCCCTGCCCCTGCCCCTGTTTTTCACCTGGCGCTACTATGAGTTTTGCTCCCTCACAGCTTTGAGCAATTCTGTATCAACTATTGCAACGAGAAGCTTCAGCAGCTCTTCATCGAGCTGACACTCAAATCGGAACAGGAGGAGTATGAGGCAGAGGGTATTGCAGTACGTGAGCACTCAGGGAACCCTGGGCATGGTGGGAAGCTGAGCATCAGGGCTTTTAGGAGAGTGTACAGGATTCTCTCATAATGCCCTTCTTCCTTTCCTCATAGTGGGAGCCTGTCCAGTATTTCAACAACAAGATTATCTGTGACCTGGTGGAAGAGAAGTTCAAGGGTATCATCTCCATCTTGGTGGGTCCCTTGCTTCTCTCAGTCTCCTGTTGGGGGCCAATTGAGAGGCCATCCTCCTCCTTTCTGTGTAGACTGGGCATGGGGATGGGGATGAGCAAGGAGAGGTGAGGCACTAGCCTACTCTTGGAAGCTCCATATGGGGACTTCCGGTGCTCTGTCCCTTTCCCTTGTATCTGCGCCTCCCTGCACAGCGTCCAAGTCTATCCCTCACCTTGGGTCCTATTCCTCAGGATGAGGAGTGTCTGCGTCCTGGAGAGGCCACAGACATGACCTTCCTGGAAAAGCTGGAGGACACCATCAAGCACCATCCACACTTTCTGACGTGAGTGGGGCTCTTGAACTTCTGGAAGGCTATGGTCTGTCCTTATTAGTGAACACCAGCCACAGGGCTGGAGGCATCACTTAGTGATTGAACATTTGTCTATGGGCTGGGAATGTGGCTTAGTGGTAGAGTGCTTGCCTACCATGCATAAAGCCCTGGGTTCAATTCCTCAGTATCACATAAACAGAAAAAGCCAGAATTGGTGCTGTGGTGCCATTAGTAGAGTGCCAGCCTTCAGCAAAAGAAACTCAGGAAGAGTGCCCAGGCCCTGAGTTGAAGTGCCAGGACTAAGGGGGGGGGGGAGGAGAACATTTGGCTAGCACATACAAGACCCCAGTTGTATCCCTACATTAAAAGCAAAACAGGGGCTGGGAAGTTGGCTCAGTGGTAGAGCGCTTGCCTTGCATGCCTGAGGCCCTGGGTTC